TTATTTATTACATTTATTTATTGTGTGTGTGTGGCCAGCTCAGCCCACCAGGGGGCGGGGCTGGCTGGCATGTGGTGCTGGGGATCGAACCGTGGTCCCTGTGCTTTGCCAAGCTTGTTTCAAGTAGGTGCTTTAGACCACTGAGCCATCTCTCCAGCCCTGAGGACCATATTTTTAAGTGTTATTCTGTGTCTTCTGTTGTTAAAAGACTGTTTCCCTAAGGAAAGTTTTGTCTTGGAGGTTTTAGTTTTGACAAGTGTCTGTATAATAAAAGTAATGGTAGTAGGATAGGTACTATTACCTGACTAAATTAAAGTATTGTTCTAGATTCACCCTATGCGTGAAATACAGTACTAATCTCCTTGTACACATTACAAACACATGGGCTGACCTATAAGGCACTTTGCACTACATAAACTAATGAAAATTGTGCTGTATGTTCAGAGTTAAGAAAAAGTTACTCGTGTAGTATTTTTTAATCAAGATTTTAAGTATTTGCCTTTAACAAAAGCTAAATAATCAGGTAAGTAATCAGTGCATCATAACAGATGTGAGAAAAATTAACATTAAAAGGAATTAATAAGGAGGGAAAAATCACCAATTTTTGCATCTTAATCACTTGATGTTTATCCATCTTTTAAGAGAGCTGAACATTCTTATTTGGTACCTTTGACTGGAAATAGTGGCTTTTCAATTTTATAATTGTGCTGATATGTAAGAACTCGGGACCAGATATAGAATACATTTAAGAACAAACTGTTGGGGCTGGTGAGATGGCTCAGTGGTCTAGAGCACCTACTTCGAACAAGCTTAGCAAAGCACAGGGACCGCGGTTCAGTCCCCCAGCACCACATGCCAGCCACCCCCGACCCCTGGTGGGCTGAGCTGGCCACACACACACACACACACACACACATACACACAAAATAAGTAGATAAAATTAAATAAAAAAGAACAAACTGTTATTAGCACTGTACATTAACCATGACATCATATCACTGTTTTATTGCTGACATCAATATCAAATGTAGGTGCATCATTCTGCTTGAATAATGCTTCATGATGTAAGAATCGTCACTTCTTGCCAGTATATGATCTACATCCAAAGTATTGGATATTACTTAGATATCATTTATAAAGCAAATTTCCTTTATATATGCTGCTTCCTTGCTCACCTGAGGATCACCTACCTCAATGACATGCCCCAAAAGAGGAAGAATGACACTGACTTACTTTCACAATAATTTCAAAACATCTACCACCACCTCCGAAGAACCCCAGAAAAAACAAAATAAAACCATCTACCATGGGCTGTTTTCCTGCTTACATACTGCATATTCACTTAGCAATGAAGCCGTGCTTGCTGAGAAAGTTGACAGAGCTAACTCTGATTTGGGAAAATCTATTCTGAAATGAAAACCATCCAGCCTAAAGGAGTTACTTAACCAGGCCAGTTTCCTGTCCAAGACAGAATTCTGTTTTATAACCAGATTTTAAAAATTGTAGGACATACCATACCTTTATATACAAATCGTAAACATCAGTGAAGAAGTTCTTTATTCCATCTTCTTGCCTTACATCGTGAAGCATAATAAATCTCATATGTGGAATAATTAAGGCTGAATCTATTAAGACTGAAAAGCTGTCCACTGACACTCTTTACATCAGTCCCACGCACTTTATTTTGCGATGGCAAAATTGAACACAAAACTGGGTTTAAAGCCAACTCGGCTTTACAGCAAAGACAATATAATTGTTTGCAGTTATATTAAAATAGCCCTATAAATCGAAATTTTTAGTTTTACCTGACTCCTTGACACCTACAGATGCGGAACCTGGCCATCTATTTTCCATATTCTTGTGAGTGTGTTCGCCCAATCTCGAGTTAAGTAGCTCTATGACAAAGGATATGGCCGGCAGTGACAAATGCTGACACAAACCACTCATTAAATTTGTCTACAGTTTTCAAGTACATGTTGTTTGAGAGCCACATGTTTTCATCCACAAGGTCCAGTGCAGCGTGAGCAATGAATTGGTTCAGATGACGATGATCATCCTAGTGACAGACAAGCAACAGATTCACATTCCATGTAGCATCAGGAACGCCACCATTCATCCCATAAATTCTGTATGTGGTATTATCATGAGGGAAAACCATTACTTGCTTTTACTTTACAAATCTCATCAGGGGACATGAAAACCTCTGGTTTCTTAACGTTTTCAGGATTTAATCTGACACCTGAGGTTCAACAAGAACAGAAGATCCAGTTAACGTGTTCAAGAATCTACAGAGAACATTGTACTTTTAGTGTGGCAAGAAGATAGTTAGCAAACCCTGCAGCCATTCATGTGTGCGAAGACAGGACACTGCGTTGAAGAGGGCACACACACACACAAAAGGAAAGGTAGATCCCGCTTTTGAGATGCTCACATCTCATTAGAGGACAAAGACATAAACTGTGTCATTGGGTGTGGGTCCAGTAGAGCACCCTAGAGAGCCCAGGTCCGAGGAGGTAGTGAAGGAGCGCTGTAGAGGCGCGGTGCAGGCACTGGGCTGCACTGACGTGAGGCAGGAGACAAGGTCAGCTTCTGAGTGTGGCACAAGGCTCACAAGCAGCAGAGACAACTGAGGAGGAAGCACTCCTGATGGTTGCACCCAGTCCTCTCAGATAAGTGGACCTTACAACGCATGGAGAAATGGGGCTGGTGCAGGCCACACTCAGCTCCAGCTGTGAGCAGCCATCTCTGTCAGCAGGGAACAAGCCTGTTAGATATGAGAATGTCCTTGTGTGGGTGGATATGGTTTAAATGGAAGGTGGGACCGATCTACCATAATGTGGAGAAGAAACTCACAACCTAGAATGCAGTTCTACACCTGAGAAAGTATCTCTTCATTCTCTTTTGTAGTGCTGGGGACAGCAATCATAGCCTCAGGTGTGTTATGCAAGAGCTCTGCCACTTAATCTATACCCCCAGCCCAGAATTCTTATTTTCAAAATGAACTTTCAATGAGTACCTGTTATGGATAGAACTGTGCGCTCCCCAATATCCACAGGCTAAAAGATCCAAGTCCCAGATCTTCAGAAGTCATAGGTAGGGCTTTTAGGAAGTGGCAGGGTCTGGAACGTGCAATGCTGAGATAAAGGGTGTGTGATTGCTAAATCAGTACACTGATTGGTTTCCCATAGTTCTGGGCAGGATAAGGCTGTCCCATCCTGGGTGTGAGTGTTATGTGCACTAAGAGTGGGTAGGCTGCATCACTTGTAAGGTACAGAGTCACTGAGAGATAGCTGAGGGGCATATATACCTGCCTGGCAAGTGCAAGGTTGTGAGTCCAAATCCTGATACCAAAACAAAACAAAAAAA